TCCCTACAGGAAAACCGCAGAAAGGCTTGCCGGATCTACTCAGAGAATACAACCTACCACCAGGGCTCTTTCCACAGAACATAATCTGCTACGAGTTTGACGAAACGAAGAACAAGCTCGTCGTCTTCCTGCCATCGCCGTGTGAGGTCACCTTCAAGGACTCGTCAGTGATAAGGTACGCGACCAGAGTGAAAGGAATCTTGCTTAGAGGCAAGCTTATGGGCGTGGAGGGAATGAAGACCAAAGTGTTGGTATGGGTAAAGGTCACGACAGTTTCGGTTGAAAGCCACAAATCCGACAAGCTCTGGTTCACTGCCGGTGTCAAGAAGGCAAGATCTAAGGATGCTTATGACACGCCTCGTGATTCTGTTAAAGTGGAAGAGTTCTGAGCTGAGTTCCAATGTCTCGGGGTGTTATTATTATATTTATTATGGTTCTTGGTTTTGGGTATAGAAGAAGGTTGTCTATGATGAATATTTTATGCAATTATAATGTTTTTTTTTTCATTTTTATCATGTAATGCAAGAAAGAAACTTGGAGGAATCAGATTCCTATTCGATATCAAATACAAAATTAGATGAAATTATACTTAAAAAACTTACTGTTCTTATTCTTGAGATATATTGAAGATTTTATTGAAAAATAGAGATTTAAGATATAATAAAGATTTTATTGAAAAATAGAGATTTAAAAGGATTTATGAATATTTGATGTAATTTCTAATTTATTTATTTAGTTTGAGATTTTAATGTATTTATAGTTTATTTTAATTATTAATAAAATATCACGTCATTCCGTATATTTTACATATTTTTTTCAAGGCAACGATTTTGATGTGCGGGGGTGAATATTATTTTACTTTATTCCACCGTAGTTCTTTACAAATTTCTGAGGATATATATATATATATTAGATAAAAACACAAAAGGAAAATTTACTAAATGCCAAACGGCAATCAACTTAATAAAAGGAAACAAGTGGGGCGGGGGATGAACATAAAAGGAAATATGCCATGTTCGAGATTAATATCTCTGGAATATTGCTTGAATTGATTCTTCCAACGGTCTTAATAGATGTGATCTTTTATTAATAATTAAAATAAATTATAAATATATCAGTTCCAAACTAAATAAATAAATTAGATATTATATCAGATATTTAGAAATCTCTTTAAATCCCTGTTTTCTAAATTTAATAAAATTTTCATGATTATATCTCAGTACTTTTATATTTCGTCTAATATTGTTATATTTTATTATTTAATACATCAATTAAGAAATATATGTCAAATGAAATTACAACATACGGTATTTTTTTTTACAAATTTGGGATGATTTAATACAAGATCGAAATAATAATGAAAAAAATATATGCGGCGGATTCAAATATACTGTATTGGATAAAGACGCTGCTGTTGTTGAAATATTGTCACAAGTTGTAACTTGATAAAAATATGTAATTTAAAGAGGTTTATCGTTTGCACGAGATTTGGAAATCGATTTGGGGCCGTACATCTGTTGCGTGATCCAACGGTCCAGATTAAGAGAGATTCCAACTCCCACCGCACTAAACCCTAGATACACCTTATAAAGGGACCAACCAACTCGGTCTCTCTCCCCTCTCACATCGATCTTCTTCTTCTTCGGCTTCTCCCCCTTTGTCTCTGTGTTTTCCGATTCTCTTTGCTCAGCTTCGAAGGTCTCGCTTTCTGCAACCATGTCGGACGAGGAGCAACACTTTGAGTCGAAGGCCGATGCCGGAGCTTCGAAGACTTACCCTCAACAAGCCGGAACTATCCGTAAGAACGGTTACATCGTTGCCAAGGGACGTCCCTGCAAGGTTTGCTCTAATTCCTTCTCCCCCATCTTAGACCTCTGGTTTCTTCGATTCTCTTTCCGACAACTCGATTGGATTCCCATTGCTTCCGTCCGTTTTGCTTGGTTCAATTCGTTATCTTGTGTTTTGATTCCCCTCCCCTTTTTCTGGTCGATACACGAGTTTCTGATTTCAATTCGGATTATTAGATCAATTAAAGCATCGTTTAACTCAGTTTCCCGTCCTCTTGGACAAGGTTTTGTTAGATATCTTGTTTGAGCGGTTTGACAGATGAAGTTTGTCTATTGTAGCGCTTGGTTTAGGTTACAAGTTTATGTTTTTTTTTATTCCGATCCCAGAAAAAAGGCGATAATTTTGATCTTACAATTCTTGAAGGCGATTCTTTTACTCGCACGTTATCATTAATATAATCTTGTTACATAGGATTTGTAATCTTACGGGTTAATTGGATTGATGATTACGTTACTTGCCCGTAGTATCAAATCAGTAGCAGAAAAGTGTTGTGTTGTATCTTGAAGGCAAGAACTTTTGATTCCTTGATTATACGATGAATCACTAATCTTGTTATTTGTGGATGATCAAATATTTTGATGCTGTGTTTAGGTCGTCGAGGTTTCAACCTCCAAGACCGGCAAGCACGGTCATGCCAAGTGCCACTTCGTTGCTATCGATATCTTCAATGGCAAGAAGCTGGACGAAATCGTCCCCTCTTCCCACAACTGTGACGTACGATTTACATATCTTAGCCGAACCCTTGTGTTTTGTATCTGTTTTCTGTCTCGTTCTTCGGCATTGGAACTGAGCTTCTGTGTTTTTTTTTTTTGTAATGGATCAGGTCCCGCACGTCAATCGTACTGACTACCAGCTGATCGACATCTCCGAAGATGGATTTGTACGTGTTTCATCTGCCTTTATAATGTCCAGTCTCTTGATAAGCAAGCTGTTAAATTGTTTCAATTTGTCGACGCGTCTGCAGGTTAGCTTGCTGACTGACAATGGTAACACCAAGGATGATCTCAGGCTCCCGACCGATGAGAATCTGCTCAATCAGGTTAGCTTTCGTTTTGTTTGAATTGTCGATCCTTTAGGGATTGATGTATGATTCGGGTCAAGGCTATGAACTAAAGAGTGGTATAATGAACAGATCAAGTCGGGGTTCGAGGAAGGAAAGGATCTTGTGGTGTCTGTGATGTCGGCCATGGGAGAGGAGCAGATCTGTGGTCTCAAGGACATTGGTCCCAAGAACTAAATGGCGCCTCAAATTTTGGATCAGAAGGGTCTCTCTTATACGATTCTTTTTGTTGTTTTTTTTATTCTTTTAGCCTTAGTCTAATATGTTTTCAATTAGCCTCGCATATTATTGACTTCATACTTTCCATTTTTAAGATTTTTTTTTTTCAATTTTCTTCCAACTCATCAGTTCTTCCTCTGCTTGCACCATTCAATCTCTATGTTTCTGTTTGTTTTTCTATGCTTTTATAATTTTATAAGTAATTTTTTTATAATTAATAATGGGCTAAATTCACATGTAATATAGTTTATAAAAATTGTATTTGCTATGCATGTGTATGGTATGGCCCGACTTTCTGTTGTCAAGCCATGTACAAGCTTTCTACACTTATATATTCGGCTTCTAACCATATAGTTTTGCTATTTGATCACAACAGTTGTCTAAGACTTTTTTGTTTTATCATTTTTTTTAGCGTCATAATCTTTTTTTTTTTTAGTAAGTTTTCTGAAATCAAAATAATACAATACTTTCAAAAAAAAAAAAAGACGTGCACAATTAAATCCGTATAAAACTGAACTAGGCCAGGCCCCTTTCTTTGAGACCATATATATACCACAAAGCATGAACGGTCCATGGGGGTCTACGGCCCGTTATGCCACGTGGCATGATACTATTGGTAAGACGTGTTGAGAGCAACACTTGTTGACTTTAGAGGGAGGTTCTGGTGGTCTCTTATCTCCAGGATAGGGACAAAACAGTAATTTAAAGACAACTACGATTAAAAGGCCTCTAAACCTCTCAACGACCAATCAGAACGTTGCATTCACCACATCCAACTCCGACACCTTACGATTTAAAGAGAAAAAAAAATCAAATCGAAGAAATATTGGAAACGGAAAATGCTAAACATGTCCTTTCTTATTTTTTGCTTAATGTTAGAGACAAGTGGAATAATTCTTGAAACGAATCTGCAATTCATGTTACTCTCTTTTATATGTGAACCTGTTCAACACTTTATTCAATTTTTAGAAAAAATACACCAAAGCTTTTTAAATTTTCTTTTTTGTCAACAAAGGTTTGAACTTTTGAGTGAATAAATTTTTTTTTTTACAATGTATAGATTTTCATTTAGATTTTTGGTCAAATTTGCCAAAATTTTAAAACTTCTTTGGAGTTGAGTATAAATTAGTTTTTCTAAAAGACAACAAATCCAGGTTGTTTTTTTGTGCACGAATTTTGTAAAATCTCACTTTTATATAAACAAATACGGGCTCTCTTATTTTTTTCCAAATTAATTTAAAAATAATACTAGTTTTAACAAGAAAAAATGAAGAGAGAGAGAGAGAGAGATTTCATATCTGCTGCGTGGACTTTGTTCTGCGGAGCAAAAGTTTTTTTTTTCTTTCAGCTCCGCCTCCGGACACGAGAAAACCCCGAAATCTCCATTAAAAAAACAAACAAACAAAAAAAAAATCGGAAAAGCGAAGTGAAACACGACACGAATACATACGCAGATATATACAAAAAGGATTGAAAGAGCAAACAAAAAAAGTTTTTTTTTTTGGGTTGGGTTGTTGGGTTTGAATCCATCTTTTTCTGTTTGTTCTTTTGGGGAAAATCGATGGCGGAGAAGGAAGAACAACCCATTCCGACGTCGAAGTCAGCCGCCGGAACTCCGCCGCGCCCGATGATTTCTCTGCCGCCGCGGCCGTTCGGCGAGATGTTCTTCAACAGCGGCGTTGGGTTCAGCCCCGGCCCCATGACTCTGGTCTCCAACTTGTTCTCCGATTCCGACGAGTACAGGTCCTTCTCTCAGCTCCTCGCCGGAGCCATGGCCTCTCCGGCTGC